ACGAAACCAACCGACCCCCACCCTCCTACTTAGTACGACGTACACGAACGAACGAAACGTAACCTACCCTCCTCTCAACGAACAACGAAACAATACCTCCTCTCTCTCTCTCTCTCTAGAACAAGACGTACTCCACTTCTCCCACGAAGAGAGAACAAGTTACTTCTTCTACACAACCTAACCCCCCTACCTCCTCCTCTCTCTCTCTCTCTCTCACTCTCAGCGATGATGAACCGCTTTCTCCTCCTGGTCCTCATCGCACGTGCCTCTCTCACGTGTGCCACCCGCGCCCCAAACAATTGCGTGGAGGCCATCCTCCTCCTCGACACGTGCCTTGCTTCCTTCTCGCTGGTGGGCCTCACTGATGAGGCTCAGTCTGTACCGTCGGATCGTTGCTGCGATGCTATCAAGGCAGTGATGGAGTCCACTCCTCTTTGCACGTGCCACCTGGTAGTGGATCCCACTATCCTCGGCTTTCTAATTAATTCCACTCGTGTCCTCGAACTCCCTGCCCTTTGTGGCCAGCCACCTTTGAGCTGTGATGGTAAGTGTATTAATCTGTTAATTTGTTTGATGTATTTTTGGCATTGTATTCTTTGTTATCTTTTGGAAAAAGTTTATATAAGGCGTCAATCCTATATTATGAAAGTAAGATCTCGGAAAAGCGTTGTTTCAATGAGCAATAAAACCTCCCATAAATCTCAATCTCGATATATATGGATATGAAAAAAAAGAGTTTCCCTAAAACCAAGTGTATCTTACAAGATAGCAAAATTTATCACATTAACTATGAGAGATAAATAATTTAATGTATTGCTCATATCTTTTGATTCAGCTCCAAAATATTCATAACACATGATCTTGATATTGGAAATATTTGCATATGGGGTAGAACATAAAATGATCCATCCTTTTTTTTTTTTACAAGACAAAAAATGATCCATCTTGTGTGGATATTTTGATAAATTGTCCCAACATCTTATCTAGACCGTCATTTTTGTACTTTTGTCTCTCGGTTGATGAAAGAATGGGATTAACTTGTATTTTGTGCTAAAATAATTTGTTGATGCTTTTTTAAGATGAGAAAAATGGGCTTCTATGTTCATTTTTTGTACATGATTATGCTTCATGTGGAATATGAGCATTTGTATTCTTTTTTTTTCTTTTGAGATTAATTGGGTGTCAAGCATCCTTCTCATCCTCTCATAACTCATTTCCTTTTTTTTTTCTTTTTTCTTTTTCTCCTTTTTCCACTCTTTTCATTGAAAGGAATAATTCCATTCTAGTGAATATGAGTATTCTCATCTTTTTTCGGTTTTTTCCTTTTCCTTTATTTTGCATTTTTTTGGGTTTATTTTTTTTAATCTTGTCTTTTCTTTTCTTTTTTTTTTTGGTTTGGCAGGATCCCAGAGTTTGCCTCCCTTAAGAACGCCTTCGGGTAAATAATTTTCTTTTCTGTATTTATTGATATCTCTCTCTCTAGCCCATAACTAACAAACAGTCAGTCTTGCCTCTTTTTTCCTCACTCTACGCTTTTTAAGAAGGATAAATTATTACTTCACACGCTTCACTATACTCAAGTTACATATAAACTTGGAGTAGCAAACAACTTGACTCGAGGAATAAATCCATGGCTTGCTCTGATAAAGCAAGGAAGACAGAGAGAGACTCCGCGTCTGTTCCTTTTCTATTGCTATTCTTCTATGTTCTGATTTGTTTCTTGCCTTGAGAGAGAGAGAGAGAGATTAACTTTTTCTTGGATCTTTTCTTGTGTTCCATAGACTCAGAAAGCACGAATGAGACGGACCATCTCCATGCCTCTTCTCCCAGTCCCTCAGGTGAGCCTCAGTATCATCCTTTCGTAGCCTAGCGCATAACGATTAGGAGTCGCCGGTCCGGATCCATTTTGGTGGGTGGGTGATCTGGGTCACCATCTCTCACAATCTCCCTTGTTTTACTTTTTATTTTAACCAAATTTTCACTACTTCGGTCGAGGTAATCTGCATCAGCATAGTGATTGGGCCACCCAAGTCCGGATTCCTGATTTCAAATCACTATTGCATTCCTTGCCTAAAGCACCTCGATCTCAGAAAGCCTAAAGAAAAAGGTTCAAAATATCCACCTGATTTAATGTATTGACGCTCTCTCTTTTTTTTTTTTTTTTTTCAAGATTTTTTTTTTTTTCTTTTTTTGTTTTTTTGGGGGTAATGCAATGGGGATGAAGGGGTTTCATGAGAATGAAAACCTCCAGGATCTTAGTTGGGACACATGTAGTACTACCACCACGACCCAACTCCATTCTCAGCGAAATGGCATGTTTGTTTCATTTTATTGCTTATAGTCGGGAAAAAGTAAAATCAATATATAAATATTAAGGACCCGGTTTCTATAAGTTCGAGCAGAAATGAGGTGCCTCTTGAAAATCTATTTTTGAAATGAATTTTTGTACTTAAATTTTTAGGACATGGAATATAAAAAATTAAAAATAATAATTTCATTAAAAAAATATTTAGACAGTTAGTTTCAATTGTTTTTAGATGGACATCCAATTTCGATCTATAAGACGTCACAGTAAACAATTTTTCAAATATTAAAAGGGTTCCAACATCTGAGTCCTGTACCCGATCCTGAGCATTGCTATGATGCTCCCGATGTAATACCCCATTCCCAGAAGAGACTTGACAGAGACTGTCCAATTCTGTTGTTTTAAAAAATTCAATTAATAAAAATGACCTTTGGGTGTTTGCAGAGAGCGATTTCAGACCAAGTTCAAAACCCTACTCGCCACCTCCGGAGTTTGGACCTCAGCTCACAAGAAGCCAGAGTTGCCTCTTTTCACCTAGCGCCATATTCCTCTTGTTACCGGCACTGTTCTTTTGACACTCTCTCTCTCTCTCTCGTTTGTTTCCAACTAACCTTTCTCCTGTTACAATTGATACAATCATAACACTGATCATGAATCTCTCTCTCGCTTTGCTTAAGGTTGGATCGATAACCCATTTGCGTCCATCTATTTGTGCTTTCATGCATATATGTGTACTTGTGTGTGCGCGGCATCATATTCATTAATCAACATAACATCTCGCTCTCTATTCTCACTGTTAACATATCAAAAAAAGGAGGTAGTTATAAGTGTATCCCAAAGTTTCAAATTTGGGTTCATTATGACCTGATTATAGTATAGACCCGTCTGGTCTCACCTCAAACACAATTCTTCTCATCGATTAAGGATCCAAAAATACTCTGAAACACTTGTATTTCCTTTGCCATTATAAAACAAACGATTTGGAGCTCCTATAATTCTCTGAAGCTCATCGATCCATCATTCACTAAAATTAACAGTTTCAGGGCTGATTCTCAGTAAGGCCTCTGAGATGGAGCATGCTAAGAGCCCCTAATTCGTTTAATTTGGAACTTTTTGAATGCACTCACCCAAACATGGCTAAGTGAGTCGTGGTCACAGTTTTGGGTGTGCCCCCAGCCGTAGCAACAATTTTCCTTCATTTTTTGCACTTAGTTTCCTTCAATGATCTCTCTCACACACACACACAAAAACACAAATATACACACCATATTAACTTTCCAGGGAAGTCCGACAATGATAAAAAAGCTCAGTGGCTGATTCAATAATCCAATACAGAGTGGGATGGTTGAGTTGAGAAGCAAAGTTATAAAAACTTCGAGTTTTTCAATTTTTTGTCAAGAACTCAAAATAAAGCAATAATGTCGATATCATGGAACTTGTATCCGACTTCTCCCCTAGTCAAGCCACACCCAGCCACACCAGATAATGACATTGATACCAGAGATTTATATGCAACCAAAAACTTGAGCAAGTTTTTGTGAATTTCTCTAAATTGCAATTGAGTTTTCTATTCACTGGTAAGAATAAAGAGTGCATCAGAACATGGATATCGCAACTGCTTCCATTTCAACATAAACAGCATGTGCCTGCACAGACACATATACAACACTACAGATAGATTCGGCGAAGCGCTTATATGTCATCCATAATCAAAATGGATTAAAATGATTTCAACCTCTATGTATACAACAGAAAACTTCTTTGCTGTAAAAATAGTTTGAAGATGCATATGCAAAACAAATCCCCCATCCCACCATGTGTATATGCATTCTGCAGAGAGAGAGAGAGTCATTTCTCTTAGCATCACCCAAGAGAGAGAGGAATCGACTAACTCCTATTAGCGCCACCCATCGGACCACTCAGCTTCATCGGTTACGGGAGGTGGAAGCTCTTCGACTTTGTTGAAGGTACTGTGGTTGTCCCATCCTTGTTCATTGCTAGTATCTGGCCATGGGTTCCCTTCATCATGAAAAGTTTCTTGATGTATGTCTTCTTCTGCATATTCCTCTGGCTCATGCAGCTGAGGTAGAGGGCACCCCTCATAAGAGTTATTATCTGTACAGTGCTTCAAGAGCTTAGCCCAGTGTTTGTCCTGCAATGAAAATAACCAGTTAAAACCAAATACAATCTCCGCATAATTATCAAATTCTCAGTTCTTTCACATAACAGATGAAATGAAAACACAACATAGAAAATGGATGATTCTGATTGAACAGTGGATATGTTGCTGAAACATCTCGACCGTTGATACTGCTTCATAGCCACAAATGAGTAAATTCCTAGAGATACTGTTTAATGTGGAAAAATGAGAGCTCTCTGAACAAGATCTGGCAGTTACCCCTGCCCTTGCTAGCATTTACATGCAAGACAGGAAATATCATTTTGGTTGGACTGGCACATGTTTAATGCTCTAATAGAACCAATGTCAATGTAAAATGTGTCTCAACAATCAAACCACACAAAATACTATGTGCTTTTCGTGGTATTTTTGCCATTGCCTTTGGTAGTCGTAAAAGTCTAGCAACAGAACATATGATAATTTCATGTCAAATAATCTGGGGGATTTTTCTATGAAGTTTGATACATATGCAGTACGTTATATACTTTACAAAAAAGAAAAATGTTAGATGATCCTCAATATTCCCCCACCAAATTATGTTCACCATTGCACACATGCCTTGAAACCATGTAGCATGACAAATTGTAGCAATCATTTGATATTTGAGTCCTCAAAAAATAAAGCAAATTTGCAAAGATATGAATAAAACTAGGTTGGACTCCAACCTCCTTAAGTCGTCACACAATATTATGGGGCTATGCATGGGAAGTCAAAATGACTATTTTGCCCTTCATAGCACTAAACTTTTGAGGCAGATTCAAACAAAAACTTCTAACAATTCACCTATACTCTTTATTCTGACACTCAAAATATGGGTGGCAATATGGTCTTCTCTTGATGTCAGAAAAGTGAATGCTAGAATTTGCCCCAAATTATAAAAGAGCAGTTCAGAAGGGCAAAACAGTTATTTAACTTTCCCACTGCTAGATATACAGCACAGTGCCACATGCATAACCCAGTAACATCATATGAGAAGTATACAGAGTCGGGGTCCAACCTAGTTCTATACCTGTGATTTGTAAATTTTCTTAAGCATACATTTGTGAAAAAAAGCAAATATTTTAACGAAAAAAATACAGAATGTTTTAAAATTTAAACTAATAAGAGATAAAGAAAAATGACTAACAAGCAACAATAGTCACCATCATCATCATCAAAGCCTTTTCTCAACTATTTGCATTCGGCTATATGAATCATGGTTCGTCATTCTGCTAACTAGCAGCAATAATATAGCAATATATTACAAAAAAGAATAAAAAAGCATTGTCAGACTCGTTTGCCAATGTTGCAAAAAGCAGCGCCGGCCTCACACCAAGGCAGCCGCATCGAGCAGGGCACAAGCCTAAGTGTTGTGCCTGGGCCAAGGTGGGCCTCCTAGGCACCCTATCCTCGGGAAGTTGTCTACCAACATTGGCACCTCGGTTGGCATATCATGCAATACGAACACCTAGGTAAGCCTTTGCTTGGGTAAGGGACAAAAACACCATTTTCCCCCATATTAAGGGGGCAAAGAGATTACAATGGAAACAGGTAAATAAGAGCTTGAAATTTACCAAAAACATCCAGTATAGAAGATCCTGTAACAAAGCTAGCATCTGGCTTTGATATAAGTTAAATTTAGGTGTGACTAGCTATAAAGACCTTAAACTTTCCCTTAACCTGTCCCAAGTGTTAGGTAGGCAGCCCACGTAATACTTTAGTTTAATTTTCAAAATTTATTACATATTAGAAACAATGAAACTATCATGGGAAAAATAATCTTAGTGAATAAATTTTAAAAACTACTAGATTGTAAAGCATGGTATATATGTATTTTTTGTCTGTCACCCCATGCAACAGATTGCACCTGTTTAGTGGATACAATCGAAAAAGAAATTTTGAATAGGTTTGAAGATATGATAATGTGACAGTATGAATAGGTTGAAAGATGTGTATATGTCTTTATGTAGATCTGCATTTTAGTAAGATAAGGATATGCTTCAGTGTCCATTCTCAGAAAAGAAAAGGAAGTGATCTAGTGTCCTTAATTTTACGTCTTTCCAAAACTATCTTTTATTTAAGGATATTGCAATACATTAGTTGTTTCTTATTTGTCTTCCATGAGTTGTTTTTTGTATTTGTCTTTCCTTCGTTACAAATTGGTTTTTCATTCTGTCTCTCTGTTGCTTTCTTTTTCTTACTAACTTTTTCCTTTCTCTGTTTCGACTGTGGTAGGCACAGTTTGTGTTCCAGTATCTGTTATTAGAAGAAAATAGATATTTTTTCCTAAGCCTTTAATGCTCTTCTAATTTGATTTTGTTAGGAAAATATTACTTTTGTTTTTAACTCTTATTAGAGATAAAATTTCTAGTATATGGCAAGCCTTTCCAATATGGACCTAGAGGTCTAAGGACCCTCTGCCGATTAAGACATTTTACTTCCCAATTAAAGGGACAACACATCTCAGAGATCAACTCACCTGCCAAATGTGTCTGACACTTCAAATAAACACCTTATTAGAGGAGATACATACGCAACACCAAGCGAAAAGCCAGGTCTTGCAGAAATACTGCCATTTGAGGTACAAAACAAGCTTCAATGACTAAAAGGATGCATTCAATACACATATCATTTATTTAAAGTGTGTGATTTGCATAAGGTTGCAACCTTAAACAATCAAATTATGGCACAACTCGAAATTTTATCTAAGATGTAATTTTGGTGTCCAAAATTCTAAGGATGGCCTAAGAATCCATTTTTATAACATTATAAAATTTTAGACTCAAAAAATTGGTGAAAATCAAGTAGATCCATAAACATATGAAAATCTTGAAAATGGATGGTCCAGATAATTTGTTGCAAGATGTAATATTTTTATGACTCAAAATCTTTCTTTTTTTTTCATATTCATACATCTCGATATTGAGATGATCAATTAGATGGTTTTCCAACATCAAAACAACTATTTTCGATGGATTTTTGAGGTGCACCTTAATTCTACATTTTAAGGTAGCAGCAACCTTATATAAATTTTTTCCTTATTTAAATTGATGAATACTAATACTTCAGACACACACCTTTGGTTTGGAGATCAAAGCTGAATGCTTTCAGTCTCTTTGGCTGAAGAAAAGTGCATCTGATAACCACTAATGTCAACCAGTGTTATTAAATTTGCTTTAGAACCCACTTTGGTTTGGCAGGAGAAGAGAAGTACTTTGCCTTTTGGCGCATTGACCCTTTAAAAGAAAGACTTTGGGAGAAACTTTCAAGAAAATAAAATTAAGTAAGATTAACAAAAAGAAAAAGAGAAAATAAAATTAAGTAAGATTAACAAAAAGAAAAAGAGAAATCAAGAACATTAATAGAAAGATGACCTTTTTCGACAGCCATCACAACAAGAATGTGCTGAGCATGTTTCAATGAGTCTGACATGGAAATGGGTTTGACACATCTCGATAAGTCAGACACAATTGAGGGATGTATACAGAGGGGCTTGGAATTTGTTTGTGCCAGGCATTCGACCCTTGGCAAACATTAATTTGTGCACCCAAATTCTAAACAAGTGTGTCCAAAAGTTAGGATATGCCTGTCCATAACTTTGGATACATTTGTTTGCAACAGAGCTAATGGACCGCAAAAGAGGTATTGGTGCCTAAAATGCGTCTAGCATGTTGGCCCAATACCCCACTACAGTCCAACACATCTGTGCAACTATTTATATAGAAGTTTTGTATATATTACATAAATAAATCACATAAGAATTTCAAAACATTGTAAATTAGAATTATGTAAAATCTAAAACAATCAAAGATCAAACGAAATGTTTCATGCAATAAAAAGAAAAATATTTTTATTGCTATTCTTTAGCTTCCAATTTCCAAACTGTACTAATAATAATATTTTACCAAATTTGTACCAAATGCAGTGCTACAGATACTCCTATGTTCCTTATCATGCATTGATATGTATCACAAATTAAACATACGTCACCACATTGTCCATACTTGTCAAGTAAATAAGTGCTCCAACAGAATATCAACACTCCCATCAAGCATGATTACTGACACGCAGTATCAACATGTGATGTTGTAGAACCATTTACAAGTACAAAGTGGGGTTTGAAACCTCACCTCTCAACAAGTAGGCAAAAGAGCTAACCACAACACTATCAGTGTCACATGCATCACATATTTTGAAGTTAATTTACTAATAGTCTTACATGAAGTACAATTTTAGACGCAAACCACTGTTGGGATCCCAACCTCTCAATTAGTGTTCAAAAACTTGCCAGAGTCGACTCAGACTAAGGGTATCTTGTCCAATACTCAGACTCAAAAGCCTGCCAAGCTGCTAATCTATTAAATCTTCTGTAAAAGCCCCAGCAACAATTACGTTAGTTATATGAATATAAATTACTGGTTTTGTAAAGACTTACAAAAATATCACATCGAAAGAAATATAAACATGAAACCCCTAAAATCCAGAGAAAATATGTATGAAAGCTTCCAGATTTGTTGAATTATTCCCTTGGTACACCAAGCCCATTTAAGTTTGGTTAACAAAGGTCAAAAATCACCCCAAGCCGTGAGAAATTGGGTAGTTGTAGGTTTATCATTGAACGTGCTCAAAGTCCGAGAAAATTTTCTTCAAACTTTTTAGGGGAGAAATGACACAACCCGATCATCTGATTTTACCATAGTTACCAGGATCGGAATTGGAACCAGTTTCAAGATTGGATCGGGGGCAAGGGATTGTGAAAGACTACAAGATACTAAGGTTCGGTATCGCTGTCTAGACCACCCAAAATTTAGGGATCGAGATCCCAATATGTTGGGGAGCTTGATCCCAACTTCTAGGGATTGATTTATAAGTTACCTGGTGCACTTAACTAGGGCTCCCTAGGTCAGGATTGCAGTGTGCATACTATTAGAAATAAACTAATAAATTTTTTAAGAACAAAATTTCATTAATAAATGTGAGGATTCCAATTATTCGATCATCATCATCAACATAGCCTTTTTTCAATTAATTGGGGTAGGCTACACGAATCCTGGTCCGCCTTTCTACTCTATTAAAAGTCATACCCTCAGTGAGGCCATAAGTTCCCATATCTTTTCGGACCACTTCCAACCACGTCTTTTTGGGCCTACCCCTTGTCCTTTTCAGTCCTTCTACTTGAACTAACTTGCACCTTCTAACAGGTGTTGTACGCAACCCACCTAAGTCTATTGCCCCTCATCATATCGCATATTGGTGCCACATGTAAATTCTCACGAATGGATTCATTTCGAATTCTATCCCACCTTGTCTTACCACTCATCCATCTCAACATTCTCATCATTACTACACTCATTCTATGGGTATATTGTTTTTTGTCCGCCCAACATTCAGCCCCATAGAGCAATGTTAATCTCACAAATGTCTTATAGAAATTGCCCTTCAGCTTCAATATGTAATAATTTGATATGTTTTACTCCTTTGGTATGTTTTATTCTGTAATAATTTGATATTTTTTACTCCTTCGGGAGTAGTCAGTAGTTTAATTAAGTAATAAAATTTTTAAAGAAATTGAAAAATTTATAAAAATTTAGAAAATTGAATCATTACGTTGTATTTCAATTTTTGCATTTTTTACATGCATTTTATGAGTATGAAATACAATAACAACCATTGCCATCTTTCTTCGTTAAATTAAAAAGTATTAAATAAATATTAAGCTGGAGCCCAAGGTAACCCGTGACCTATTAAAGAGGCCAAGAGGGACAATATAGTCTCTACCAACATCAAAAATCATGTGTGAGAACAAAATATGAAACAAATATATTATATAATCCTTTTAACTAAGGGCAATGATTTCATGCAATTGTTGTATAGTAATATGATGCAACAACCTTAAAAAACCATCTTATGGTCATTTGTTTGATCCAAATTTTGAAATTTACACTCTTTTCATTCTAATGAACAACCACAAAAAAATAAAAAAATTGAAAACACAACCTAGAAAGTATTTTTTAGCCCAATTAACAAAGGCCGTTCATTTCCAAGTTTTTTGGATGGCTCTATTATCATTAGATGAACAATGTTAAAAAAGAAAAAAATGATTTTGAGCTTATAAAGGCTAAGATCTTGAAATTCACAAAATGAATGGTCTAGATTCTTTTTTGGATGGGAGTTATTTTTACTATATCTAGGGTTCAAATTGAACTTTTTTTTGGAGGGGGATTGATTATTGAGATGAAAAGAATGTGTGTGCAAAATTTGGGGTCATACAAATACCACAAACATGGTTTTCTAGAAGTGTCAATTCATTATACTATGATACAACCGTTGCATTGGATCATTACTCTTTAACTAATTATGCAAAATAGTTATTACTTAATAAGTTGAAGCTCAAAGTTCGAACTTGTGACCTATTAAAGTGGCCAAGAGGGACACATGAGTCTATCACCAAGGGAATCTTGACCCCATGTTGGTGGAACCTTGGTTCAGTTTACCTATTGAAACACGGATATGATGCTGAGGAATTTGGATTACATGTAACTCAGAATCTCAGTCCCCAATAGGAAAGATCGAGATCCCAGAGTTATCCTCAAGTTTACAAATCGCATAGAAGCAGGATATCCCTCCTTGGAGTGCAGGAGAGCTCCCGGAGCAGGCTTAACCCTTTGGTTGAGTTATCCCAGCAACTATGGATTTTACATCTGATGCCTTGGGCCGTTAATGACCTTTGTTTCAGAAGGCAATGATCTCATTGTGTGTGTACACAACATATACAAAACAATTAGTAGATGTAGGACTTGTCATGCCACTTTGGCTTTTTAGGCTGAAGCACTGCACACCTATGACTTTCATGTTATCAAGTGAGACAGAGATAGTTTACACACCTATTATGTTATCTAGGGAGATAAATAATAGTTTTTAAGGTTCCATGTTTTAAATTTTTATGGAAATAAGATTTATAGCAAATCCATAAATTTGCAGACTCACTTAAAAAGGAAACTGTAAGAGAGGAGCACATGAGTGGCAACAGGCCCCTAGGCCTAGCCCACCTGGCCCCGACTGGCAAGGCTTGGGCCCCAATTATAGCAAGACTCAGGCCTTGCTTATTGGGCTGAGGCTTGGAGTAGGGCAACAAGCCTATCAGGCCCTTAAAGGTATCATTTATATTTTTAGTGCAATTAGAAGACTTGGGGTTGGGACTTGGTTCATGGAAGCCAGTATGTTAAATCCCACCGCTGAACTACCAAAAAACAAAGCTTTAAAAAAAAAAAAAAAATAGTCACAGTTTGGGCTTGGGCCAGCTCGGTCTGAACCTAAACTTTGGCTCGGCCGGGCTCGAGATAGGCAGCATGGTAATAGGACGGGCTCAGGTCTGGGCCCTTAACCCCATTTAGGACTCCAGCCTTCGGCACTAGGCTACCAGCCAGGCTTGGGCCAACACTGGCTTGCCACCCTATGCAGTGCCAGAGGTGGAGTTACTGAGATAGATATCACTCGTCATCTTCTTCGAAAAATGATTTTGCTATCTATATTTAAAAACTTGAATAATAATCCCAAACTGTTCTATAAAAAAAAATTAAGGAGTGACTTAATGTTAGGGAACAAAATGGTCTTAATTTTTTTTTGAAACGCAAAATATTCCATAAAATTAAGACTGTTTTGTTCCATAAAATGGTCTTAATTTTATGAAACTACAATGGGCATATTTTGTAGATGTACATAGATTAAGTCAAAACAGATCTCAAAAGCAGCTTTTCAACCTAAAATTCTATTTACCAGATAAACTAAATACCACATGTCACTATGGCATGGAGTGCAGTGCAAGACAGGCCCATGTGCCATGCATCATGTTATAGTACAGAGTGGTGTCAACTCTTGAACCAACCAAGATACACACTGCTTTGTTTTCTATTTTTACAATTTCCTTTGGTCTATGAATAAATTTACCCCAATAGTAAAGCAATTTGAAACACAAAGTATGAATATTCCATCACAAACAATCTGGTGCATTTTGACAAGGTTTGATACATAGGAAGTATAGTATGTCATTATCATCATCATCATCATCATCATCATCATCATCGCCCTTTCCCAACCATTTGGGGTCAGCTAGGAATTATATTATGTGATCCCTAATATTCTCACACCAAAATTTGGTTTCCACACCACCTCGTGCGTACAACCATGCTTAATTGACAAATTAAGGCAATAATAAGATAGTGAGTCTTTAACAGCTAAAGATCGGTATGCATACAATTGCGTTACAATCAAATATGTGAACCCAAAAACTGCAACATCTAAACCTAAGCCCTCAGTTAATAAGATAAAGGGTGCGGTTTGTATAGAGCCGAGGATCTAAACAATCAAAGTAAAGAGCACCTTCAAATAGTGTTGAGAAATACGGTTTCAATACTAGAAATCTTTGTGATAGGCTTAAATATATTTTCATCTTTACTTATAAAATTTAAAGCTTCAAAATTAGTGTAGATCGAGCAGATCTATGAAAACTTGAAAATCTTAAAAATTGATGGTCCAAAAATGCATTACAAGATGCATTATTTCCAAAACTTGAAATCTATTTTTTTCTCATGTCCATGCATCTTGATGTTGAGATGATCAATTTGCGAATATTTGGGCATCAAAACAACCTCTTCTAATGAAATTTTTACGGTGGGCTCTAATTTGATTGTTTAGAGCCTCAACTCTATATAAACTTTTTCTAAGATAAAAGCATTAATAATCGACATATAGTGACAATATAAAAAACATATATATGACACCAGATTTTGGTTTTCACAACACATCATGCATGTCTACAACAGTGCTTAGAAATGACAAATTGAGGCAAAAATAAGATATTGAGTCTTTTTTCTTTTTTTTTTAAATGAATACTGAGTCTTTAGATGATAAAGATGGGTATAGATACATTAAGATTACAAGCAAATATGTGGACGAAAAAACTGCAATGAACTAATGTATAAATCCTTAATAAGAGAAAAGAATAAATAACCTACAAATAGCAAGAATATAATACAGATTATGAGACAAATTAAACTCTATAAAAATAGAAAACTAGCTAAGAATAAAACAATGCTATGATCTCTTTCAGTTGGTATGCTTGAGAAAGAATCTATAACAAATTAAACTCTACAAAAATAGCAAACTAGCTAAGAATAAAACAATGTTATGATCTTTTTCAGTTGGTATGCTTGAGAAAGAATGTATAAAGAATACCTTGCAAACGATATGTGGGTTACCGATGATGATGAGCAACGAAATTGCACGAGTAATGGCGACATTGAACCTCCTAGGATTGCTTAGAAACCCTAGGCAGTGCCTTTTGTCAAAATCATCATACTTGACAGTCGACCTCACCGTAGATATGATTATAACCTGCCTCTCTTGCCCTTGAAACTGCTCAACGCTCCCCACTTTTATGCCACCCAAATCCATGGATTCAAGGGCTAGCCTGAGCTTCGACACTTGTTGGCGATAAGGTGTTATAACCCCGATATCGTCTGCACCCACTTCAGCATCCTCTGTAAGCTTTCTAATAATTTCGACCACTTTGCTAGCCTCGATACGGTTAAACCAAGAAGGGTTCGTCCCTTCTCTCTCATCACAACCTTGAATCCCAAAGAAAACAACAGGGAACTCCTTGTTTGGGAGCTCCTCCCACTCATAAAGGGCCAAATCACTTTCTTTCTCTTTGCAAGCAATCAAATCCCCACTATAAAATAGATTAGAAGGGAGTTCAAGGATGGCTGGGTGGCATCGATAATTCCTCAAGAGCTTTATCACAAAAGAACTATCTCCATTGGCATAGGGTTCACAATAAGAGAGCCTCTCCAAGAAGGATGTCCCCAAGTTATATGTCTCGGCAACCTTAGAGTAAACCACAGGGCCCAATTGCATTGAGTCACCTGCCAAAACTACCACAGTTTCTCGGTTACAAAGATTGGAAATGGGAATCATGGTCTCGGGCTCTGAGGCCTGGCCTGCCTCATCAAGAAATATGTGGGAGAAATGGCCTCTCCTAATGCCTTCAGCATAGAGACAAGCAGTACTCATATATGTGGAGACTATGATCTTATAACGAGACAAGGCAATGAGAGGAGGGCACTGAAAAACCATGTCATCAAAGTAACAATATTGAATTATGTCCTGCTTCACTTCTTCAAAGGGGCGGCTACTAGCATTGAGCCTAAATATTTGATTTTCTTTAACATGTGGTATGAGTTTGTCTAATACATGATCAGCCGCACTATTGGAAGAGGCACAAACGAGTATGCGAGAATTATTTCGTATTGTGTATAGTTGTGATATGGCCTCTACTATTGTCACAGTTTTACCAGTACCAGGTGGGCCATGGATAACGTAAGGAGGGGAGCCTCGGCATCTGAGTATCATTTCCACAGCGGAGATTTGTTCCTCATTCAGGCCCTGGTTCAGGGGTGTTATTGGGGGTGCCCTTGTGAGCCTCCTTTGAGAAGGTGATGAGGGGAAAAGAAGCTCAAGGCCTAGCTCTTGGGCTGCCATGACAGCCTGATACAACCGCCTCATGTTTACCCTGTTATATGAGAAACTGACATCATATTTGTAAGTGTCACGATGATACTGATGAAATTCCTTCGCAAACTTCAGAAACACTTGATCAGCTTCAACTCTGTGGATGTACCCCTGCTCATGTCAAACAATGCATCAACCAAAGGAAACAAAGTCAATTATCAGAAACACCAGAGGATGAAGGCACGCACACATGGGTGTGTGTGTGTGTGTGTGTGTATATGTGTGTGTGTGTGATAGAGAGAGAGAGAGAGTGAGAGAGAGAGAGATATGTGGATTTCTGAAGTTATTCTCAAAGTGTTTGCTTTAACAGGGAGGACTGGCATAAATGAATTTTGTTGTGGGTGAATGCATGAATGAACCTCGTTTTAGGTTGACGATTGTTTATGACATTACAGATACTAATTATTTAAGATGGTTATTGTTCAAGAACATGGATATGCAACTGAAACAGCAGTATTTTGAGAAAAAAAAAGGTGTTAAAATAGTAACTTTTAACAATGAAGTATTGTACGAAACATCACAAATACTGATGGTGGTGAATATCTCACTAATTGGAAGGGGATAAAATTGGGGCTAAGTACATCATGCTACAGATATTGTGAGACCTCTTGGCTTTCTACGTGGCAATCATTCTGGCTACTTCTACCGAGGATCAAAGATCTTGTGATTTAAGAAAAAGTATTCAGAATGTGAGTGGTTAAACTGGAGATTAGAACCATTAAATATGATTGCAGCATGGACGCAGCAAATTGAATAGGATTTGCAAGTAATGGCTTGAGTTCCACCCATTGGAGCAAGATTGCCAACTTCATGAATATGCCAAGCATACATGGACCATGGTTATCTAGCCTCTCTAGCCCAATGTACAGAAGAGTGGAAAAAAAAGATAAAAGAGATGGCGAGTACTTTATAGTCACTATAATGCAGGAAAAGGATGCAATAACATTAGATAGATCTCCGTATTAAGACTATACTTTAAAAAAATATATACACAAAAAATTAGCAGAGAGTAGCAATTACTTATGCGGAGATATTCTGACCTGCTTAGATATGCAAACTGGAAGAAGATAAAACTAATGACAGTTCGGTGATCTTCGGAGATAAGAAAAACAACTTCATGAAGTAATAACCTGGTATGGTTGTCCATCATCTTGAAAATCATTTGAAAGTTTGGCACATATATAATCTCCACACACAAGTGAAGGCCTTTTCTCTGCCAATCCAGGGACCTCCAGAGCCAAGAAGGGGCCACGCCTCATCATCATCACATTGTACATGTCATGATTTCTCATTTCCTCCTGAAGAAAATCTTAATAATGTTTTCATCCCCAATTTAACTTTTTCTTTTTGCCTAAATTGAAAAGTGGGCACACCACACTTTACTCAGAAAGAGCTAATTTAACAAAATAAAAGTTGACCACAATGTTTTCTTTTTCTCCCCAAATTATCTGAACCGGAACAATGAAAGTAAGAGGATAAACAAATTCAGTCAAGGAAAGTTTTAATAGAAAGATAACAAAATTTGGAGAGAATATTTAGTGTAAATTTGGAGAAAAATGTTTTCTTCTCTCCCAGAACTTCCTAACTGGGACAGCGAAAACAGTAGGAATCGAGCTTGAGCTTGAATGGTTAGTTGTTGACAATCACAACACTACATCCCAAGTTCAAGTCTCACCACTGAACTACTTCGAAAAGAAAATGAAAACAATAAAAGTTGAGAACTACTTCCTTTTCCCACTGACCCATCTCACATAACAACTTCTCATTTTTACAAAAAACAAAAATGAGAACAAAGATTAAATAAAAAAAGAAAGTAAAATAATTTTGGGGACTAAATTCTTGTGTTGTCTTATTATTTTCTGAATTAGAGTATGAAAATAGCTAGCCACTGTAAGAATTGTTACCTCCATATGAAGCTCTTCCAAATTGAGCAAAGCAGTGAAGTAATACATATAATTCTCTGGGGTTAGCCCCTCCATTAGAACCTCTGGTACCTGCTTATTTTTTGCCATCTCCCTAACAAAAAGAGGGATTAGAAACTTTGGTAGCGGAAATCGATATCTAGGAGCTGTGCTTTGTGGCCTAGAACCTGCAACAAATTTGTCAGTGCCAAATGATTTCTTCCTGTTCTCTCTCAAATATGGCTTTCTTGAAGTTAAAAGCTGGGAAACGTTGTCCTCTGCCAATACAAATGCTATCCTCTCAACTCTATCATCCCCAACATCAAAATGTATGACACAATTATGCAAACCAATCTCCTTTGCTTTGCAAGAGAGCCAGATTTTAAAAACTTGGCCTGGGTCCAGAACCCGGTCCTCTAAAGCCATGGTTTCTAAGAAGTAACTGAGAGTTTCTTCATCTGCATCCGTCGACGGGGGCTCAGTAGTAGAGAGAGAAAATGAGCCTGCAGGGTTGCAAGAGTATATTTTCACACCCCATAAATCCAAGGGCTCAGCTGTCATGTTTTGAACTGTTATTATATCGACTGCAGTTTCACCGATGAGGACAGATGGGGGTTTTCCATGAACAAGAGCAAAAGGATTTGAAATGGTGACCGGCCCCTCATATCTCCAATCCACACCAACAATGGTTTCGTCATCCTCAAAGTCCAAAAACCCCACATCAGGCTGAGCTCCAATGACAGAGACACTATCACAGTCGTCATCCACACTGCCCATTATGAGTCGGAGTTCTTGTTTCTTTAATAAACAATATGAAATCCTTGACAGATCCCTGATATTCTTGTCTCCGATGCCGAATACCCAATTAAATAAACCTCCTTAACTGAGGAATAAATAAATCATTCCAATCTGCATTCCATAAACAGCTAGAGGACAATATGAAATACACCGAATACTAAAAAATGAGAGTCTACAATCACAGACCAAAAGATGATACAGAAAAACAGGACAGCTAAGAAAAGAATGGTCAGATTGATAATCTAAAAAGCATGACACTACAAGCTAAAACTATCAGGACTCATAATCTACAAATCATGACACAAGAAGCTAAAACTATCATTTGTACCGAACTGGAACATAAAACCCAACTGCTAAGATGTTTTAAGCCCTAGTTTTGCTTTATGCAACGCACTGAACACATATACTCCCTTCAGAAAACTGCTAAAATTCACACTATATTCGTAACCTGATTCAGTGTAAGCTGGCAATGATTGATGACATGAACGCTTACAATAAATAATATCACTCCAAAAACGATTTGCAGTTCATCAAGCAAACAAACAGAGGATTACTTTCTTCAAAATTACAGTTTTTAAAAGCCAAGATATTAGAAGTTTCTCCAAGTTTTAAGCTAAATAGATGAAAAAGTTTCTCTAATGCAGTAGCAATGCTTCATGGATTCAGTATAATCAGATAAGGATGTAGTAAGTTGTAGAATGCCACCTGTTCTAACAAAACATTGGCTAAACCGCATTCAAAATGACACCATTGCTTGATGCAATTTACCGATCATCTTAAACCACATATGAAACACAATCCATAGAGTTTATACAAAATCATTGCTATAACTAGAACAGAGGAAAAAAAAGCCTCCAACCCTTGGGTGTTAAAATTTATTATGAATACGGGAAATAGATCAAAAACCCCAAGAAAAAATACCAAGGGCTCGATATATGAAAGAGCTTGTTCTGTAACAACAATAACGATTAATGAATGAACAAAAACCCTCTCTCTCTCTCTCTCTCTCTCTCTCTCTCTCTCAGAAACCCAAAAACAGAGGAGGAAGAAGAAAAGAAACCTGGTTTCACTGTCACTCGTGCTTCAAAACTACATCATCAATAAAACACTGGGTAGAATCACAATGCAGGTGCTTCCAACAAATGCACTTTCTGAATCAACTGTTTTCAGTGACTCAAGCGTCCTTGAACAAAACGAAGAGAGTGGGGGAGAGAGTGGTGGAATTATCCGTAAACTAAAACGTCTAAAATTTAATGTGACAGTTCCACATGTTCAGAAGAGAGAGGGAGATGCAGGCTTTTAGGAGTTGAGAGAGAGAGAGAGAGAGAGAGGTGCAGGGTTTTTGAAGGTGGATTCTTAGTATTGGCCAATGACCGATCATTTTTTCAATTTTTTGGTATAAGTTTCCTCCTGTTTTGTACCTTATGCTTCCATGTGCTCAACGCGTGAACTCCGAACCTGGGGGTTTGTTGTGACGGACGTTTTAAGCATAGGTATATGTAATTTGTGAGAAATGTAACGAGTATCTATCAACAACCGAATCAAATTTAATCGGAAAGAAATGTATGATCGTGGCATTTTTGTGATAGTTAGAGATTTGGTTAGATCAAAATTCATATATTTAATTAATTTAATTATATTTTAAAAATATTAAAAAAATTATAAATAATAATTTAAAATAATATAACATGTTAAGAAAGAAATTGTTGATTTTGTTTGGATGGTCAAATCGAGTGCTTGGACTGGCCAAACATAGTTATTGACCAAATTTGATTTTTATTCTAGATTAGACCGATTAAAACACTAGTCAATGATTCTATTAGTTTGGTTTAATCTTGATAATTATGGTATCAACTATATTTTCTTTAATTTCAAAGAGTGTATTTGCTTAGTTTCAGGTTGTGACCGTGAGTTTTAAAATTTATCAAACTAACCTATAAGTAAAAATGATAAGTAATTTAATTTTTTAAAGTAATTATTTCAGGTGTCAAAACTCCGTGCAGAACTCTGTTAAGGGGTCAGAATTCCCCATTAGCATTAGTGTTTACATGCTTAATTTCGATTTTTTGTGACTTCTCAAATAATTTCCTAAAATGGGTCAGAATTCCTGACTAACATTAGAGATTACATGCTTAAATTTCAATTTCTTGCGACTCCTCAAAAACAATTCCTAGAAATACTGAGATTTGATATCAGGATCCGTTTCACGAGCACCATGTAGAAAGCTCCAACCAAAAGACAAGAATGCCTTACTCATCTAGTATCTATGAGATTATTTAAATATTTTTACTTGCTCACGTTCTAGACCCTAATTTTAATATTTTTTATATTTTTTAATAAAATGAGTAATGATCATGCGAGGCTCTCCCACATCCACGCGTGTAGGACCCCAAATGATCACCATTAAATTTGATATAAATCTCTATAAAATTCGTCTTATAAAGGTGGGATTTGACTTTTTTAGAAATCCATGCCAAATTTAATGGTGATCATTTGGAGTCTTATACACATAAATGTGGGAGGGTCTCATAAAATCATCACTCAAATAAAAATTGAAATGAAATACCATACATGGGTTCCTTAAATTATATTTTCTTCTCTCTCTAAGCTAATTTATTCAATTAATATACTTCAATAATAGCATGACTCTTTATTTGACTTGCGATGATTCCCCTGCCTTCTTTACTCCACAGGCCGCTGAATGGTATCATTTGCTTCCCCATTTCTCTATCAAAAACTATTTCTCCTCTCCCATCTCACAAAACCACTGTTGTCCAACTCTTCGAGGTGAAGGCAAGTCTTTTGTAACATATGCTCAATGGTCTTTTTATCTCGTCGAGGCACACCAGTCAATTGAAGTTCTCTTTTAACCCCACCCAAGAGACACGTCTCTTTCGCTCCTCTATCCTTGTCAGATTTTAGTACGACGGGCAACCCGAAAAACAAATATGAGATCTTGTCAGATTTTAGTACGACGGGCAACCCGAAAAACAAATATGAGATCGAGATCGAGATCGAGATCGAGATCGAGACCCGAGATTGGACCTGATCCAAAATATATATGGGCAATGGGGCAATGATTTCACGCAACCGTTGTATAGTAATACGATGTAATAACTTTAAAAAATCATTTTATGACCATTTGTTTGATCCAAAATTTGAAATATACATTTTTTTTCATTCTCAACAATCACAAAAAAAAAAAAAAAATTGAAACCACAACCTGGAAGTATTTTTTAGCCCAATTAACATAGGCCGTTTATTTTGGTGAGATGTTTAGATCTAGGCCTTGAAGGATGTTTTCATTTCCATTCTTTTTCATAGCTTTATTACCATTAGATAAACAATGTTTAAAAAGAAAAAAATGATTTTGACTTTACAAAGGCTAAGATATTGAAATTCACAAAATGAATGGTCTAAATTCATTTTTAGAGGGAACTCATTTTAACGATATCTAGGGTT